TATATATATATATATATATATATATATAGTGATCATGGCTCTGCGCTGATCAGATATTACGTGTGGGCATAGGCGGAGCATGTGTAAGGCTGGGGAAGGCTTAGCCATGGGGACTTGGGGCAAAAATGCCACTAAATTGGACAAAAATGCCCCTGTACAAACAAATTAAATCTATTACGTCTGTTGCTAACAAAGTGAAAATAAATAGACAGTGTCGATTGCGACATTAAATTAAGATCTGCTCATGTTGCACCGCTGCGTCGCAACAGGTTGAGTCTGTCTACGTTAGTGTCTACACAGGACATTTGAACTCCGTGTCAGTACCTCATAAATAGGACGAGGCAGTTTACTGTCGGGGATTTGTCATGTTGTGTTACATCCAGTGTAGCATCCCTGATTATAATGAGTTCTCGCTCCTGTAGACAGGGTGTATTTAACTTTCTTATTTAGGGTACTTTAGAATAATTATTATAATTATTTTATGGTAGTAATGGACCAACTACCGCTGGTGGTGCCATGTTGATATATATATATAATTAATATTAATTATATATATATATCAACATGGCACCACCAGCGGTAGTTGGTCCATTACTACCATAAAATAATTATTTCTGCCATAATTATTCTAAACCGACATTTTACAGAAAAAGTGTTTACAGAATAACTTTAAAGTGGAAATATATTGGTAATTCTAACCTCGCGCTCACAGTTTTAATTAGAATACATCATATCCGGCCGGGCAGTCACATACGGTCTAGCCGCAGAAGTTCAAATATTTTAACACATCCGAAGCTCAAATTGGATCCTAAATTTCTGCATTTGCATATGATTGGTGTTCCACGCAGCTATCGCACTACTCTCCATTGGAAATGAATGACTTCTGGTCTATCGCTGGTCGTTTGTTGAAGATAAGAAAAGACAGCTTTACGATTGTGGCTTCACACTAGTTTATATAAGATCTTGTATTTTTGTAAGTGTATTTCTTGCTTTTGTTATAGTGTATGACTCACTAACCCCTGTCCTCTCTAAAGAAGGCTGCTGGCTGCCTCTGTCTGCTGTTAGCATTGATGAGTTCGTCCTTTCGGCGTGCCTGAGTGATGTAGATGACCTCAAGATGCCTGTCCAATGCTGAGCCGATATTAGCATGAAGTGGAAAACTGCGCAACTGTTCCATCTTGCCTAGCAAACCTGCCACCTACAAACACAAAGCAATTCTGCATTATAATATGGAAAATTCATCTCATCTATAGTTTAAAACACTGTCAATTTAATTGTATATAAAATACGAAACCACAGTTTGTTGGCAAAAATAGTTTCATGTGTGTAAAATATTTACTTTCTATGAAGTTGACCGTTTCTTTTTTCTATCCACCACTACAGTACTATTAGATGTAAAACCTGAAGACAACATAACACTATGGATGCCAACTAAATAAATTCATTTAGATTATTCTTTCATGATTTCATAAATCTCATGATTTTTCAAAAGCACAATAAAACCGTAATAATGTCAATAATTTCATTTATTTATTTTCTTTACATTTTTACACTATTTCTTTGAATTTTTAGGCAGGCCCAAGAGCACTCTCTTGTGGCCTCCTGTTTGAAAACCCTTGGCAAGAACTGTATAAGAAATACTGGACTGACCCTGGCCTGTTCGCGCAGCTGGTCTACAATGAGGCGGTCCAGTCTGGAGGGGTTTGGAGGCATTTTGGGTAAAACACTACTGGTCACCACAGACACGCGTTTTCCTGGGTAAGACTTTGTAAGAACAGCTTCTGCCTGTCAGAAAGAACACATTACATTAGTTTCTTACCTCATCATGCTTGTGAAATGAAAACAGGTCAGCCTGCAAACTGCATGGTAATTTAATAGCATGATTCACCAAGACAGAATCTGTACAAGTTTGACAACTCGGTAAGTAATTTATTTTTCCATAAATTATTTTCTTAAAAGAAATCACTGTTTTGGCTATAATAGAGTGCTGCATGGATGATGTATTTTTGTATGCCAAAACCCAGAAACAAGTTAGCACTCCCTGTTCCATCATCCTGAGTTCAATTAGTTTTTTTTTTTTTTGTTAAATGCCTGAAATAAGGTCTGTGGTTAACAGAAGTTCGAGATATTTCAAGTTTAAAAAATTAAAAATACATTAGTAAAACCCCTTTGTGCTTTTTACCCCCAAGCTTTTACTTGTCTTGAAAAAGGAAGTTGCTAACAAGTGGCTAAATGGGACTACAGAAGTTGTCAGGGACATTAAACATCTTCATGCCAAACAGGAAAATTCATCTACTCACTAGTCTACTTTTACAGCTTCTGTGTGTTTATAATCACACTCTTATAAACTGTTCTAACTCAATGTTTCAGTGAAAATGTTTTTTTTTAAATAAAGAGTTGTCTGAAGCTTACTGGCAGTGACATTGAAGTAGTTTGTTTCTAGCCTACATTTAGCTTTTTACTTCTACTGATTCTATATAGGTTTCAAAATAAAGTTGTGTTGATTTGAGAGAATTATCATGAGGAACATGATGTGTAAGAATCATAAACTTTTGTTGGTCACTGAGGTTATTTTTCTTATTTTCCTACAAAAATATGTCAACACTGCTGCAGCACATACCTGAAAATTCATACATGGAATACAAGAATACCCTTATGTCTCAAAAACCTCACACTTACTTGCTTTCTCTCTTTTTCCAGCATCCTCCACTGCTCGTAACATTCCTCCAGGTAAAAGTGTAGCTGACTGTTGGGGCTTCCAAATGCCTTGCCAAACTTAGGTGAGGTCATGTCCGACAGAAACCCGGAGAACAACCCATCTCTGGATGCTTGGCTTAGCCCAATACATTCTTGTAGATAGGGGCTGAAGGGTGAATTATCTCCATCTGGCAGATGTTCATTCATGTCGATGAGGGGCACAGAGCAGTAGGGCAACTGGGACTGGGACTGAATCGGGTGGCATGCGCTTTTTCTGGGATCACCCATCTGGTATAGGAATGGGAAAAGTTGTGATGGAGTAGCTTTGGCTGAGTTTAAACTCGCTCCACTGTGTCTCATTTGTCCTCCATACAAACTGCCCAGCCCCTGATATGGATTCTGACGGAGTCCTGTTTTTTTGTCTGTCTCTTTAGGGAAACCGGGAAGTTTGGGTTTCGTGTTAAATCGCTGATAAAAACACCCATCGACCATAAGGCCCGCCGACAACCTGTTGTTCTCTAGCTGGAGGTCAAAATCTGAAATGTCCACATTTCCTGCTCCCTTCCTTAAATTCTCAAGACTGACCTGGCCTATCGCACCATGTAGATTTACTGTGTTCCCCTGACTCAAATCAGCTGGGACTCTCGCTGCAGGCCGGAACAACTGCTGAGAAGGAAGCAATGGAACAGCCCCTGATGTGGTTGTGAGCTTTGCAAAACCATGTGATTCATTGTTGCTGTTGGTCTTTGCCGAAATCTTAGCTTGTTTTTGATAATGGTTTAACTGGATAGGCTGGTACTGCTTTACACTGGTTTGGGCGGTGTTGCTTCCTATGAGGCTGGCTTCTTTGTTTGGGTGAAGGGCTGGAGGCAAGATGGTAGGAGAAAAAGTCTTTGGTGGCCCAAACCCTGAAAATTCATGCGTAGTATAATGACTTTGTTTTTTATCCACTACTTTAGCTCTTCTTTGCTCCATATGGTTGATTGTCACCTCTCTCTTAAAATCTGGTGTTTGAGTAATAAGCTCCGACATCCTTTGAAATGGATGACTCTTCTGCTCTACCATGATTTCCTCAAGATTCCTCTGTGCAAAAAGCCCATTCTGGGTAGATTCTCGGCAATAGTTCATATCCTGCTCTGCCAAGAGAAAGGCCAGTTTACTGACATCCTGCACAGAGAACGATTGGGTGTTCTTCAGTTTATCTTTGCTCACAGATGAAAATTCATGAGATGAACTGAAATAGGAGTCATCCATTGTTTGTGGAGGGCAGCAAGAGTTGTTGACTGTGTTTATATAATCAGACAGGCAGTTAGTGGTGCTGCGGTATCCTTCATCCTTCTCAGGTGTAAGAAACTCAGGTTTACCAGCCCTGGTCTGGTAGAGGCTAGAGCTTAAAGTTGGGGGTGTGTTCAGGCCTGGGGGGCGAGGAAGATCTTGAGGAGAGTATGTGTCAGCCTCTCCATTACAAGTGGAGAAATTGCAGGGAAGTGCAAAAGAATCAAAACCATTACAATTCTGAAGTTCAGCCCACTGATGAGATTCTCTACCTGCAGACTGAGGAGAAATATTGCTGACTGGTTTAGGACAAATCTGATTTGACGGGAATCCAGAAATGGGCAGCACCTGTACCTCATTACTGAAGTAATGCATCATCTCTTCTCTTGTTAACTCTGGAGACCACACACCTTTCAGACTAGATGGTAGCCTACTAAAAACAACACAAAATGTTGTTTTTTTTTGCATCAATTTTAAAGAAAGCTGATGGATATTTGGATTAAATTGTGAAAATACTAAAGCTGTCATAACATGTTAGCATATGCTTATTTTTTTTAAATGTAAGGGCATTTATATAATTTGACACGTCACTATAGTGGAGCACCCTTTTATCAGTCAGTTATGGAGAAAATTCCTCTTTACAGGTTAATTATTCATAAATCAAACACAGACAGGATGCACAGTAAATGTAAAGTAATTTAAAGGCAGAGGACATGTGTCTTGAGTCATGTAAAATTGTTTTAAAATCCTTTTGTTACTGCATTTATATTGTTATACTGTATTTGCATTTCCCATGACTAATGTATCTAGTTTTGATGCCGTTTTAGAATCTGTAGCATCTGATGTTTTTGAGTAAAGAGTGATGTTGCATAAATATACTTTAAGAGAAAAATTGCAAACCTCACAATTACACATATGCCTATTATTTATTTTACATAAGAGATATCTACAACATTAAATACTATTCAATTCATTTGAATTGGAAATTAGCCAGTTTTACACTAATCAGTAATAATTAGCTTTACAGGTTAATTTCTGTAAAATAAATCAAGAGGGACTTACTTCTCTGAGACATATGAGGAGTATGGGTCTATTGAATCTGGTTCTTCCAAGATGTCGGACACTAATCCATAAAGATCAGCCTCACTCCCACAATTACTGGCATCTACCAGATTTCTATGCAAGATAAACAATATTGTAGTATTTAATAACAAATCCCTTTTGACTCACAGTATTAGCGTGTTAATATATAACATCCCATTTTTACAGTATTATTAATATCTATAAAAATAAAACGAACCTGTTATTAGGTATGACTTGAGGCCAATTCACTGATTTACAGTCTTCTTCCTGAGTTGGCCAAACTGTGTAAGGCAGTGGTGCACAGTCTTGCACCGGACAGTCCGAGAATGGGTTGTATGACAAGAATCTGCTGCCTTTGAAGCTATTCTGCAAGAACACAGCATTTGTTCATAAAAGGCATATAGAGAAGTTGTTAACTGGATAAAATATATACATTTACAATACATTTTCAAAAATATTTATGGGTATGAACATAAGCAAATCTAAGAACGTTCTTAAAATTCTCTGTGCAATTTAGTTAGTCTGTTATTACAAATGCTGCCCAGTTCAATTATCTATTTAAAAATGTATTACAATTCAAATAAAATGAGTCATTTAATTTTGCAGATCTTAGCAACATACAACAAACCACTCTTGACAACTTTTATATTTGGAAAAACCATAGACATTTAACATTTTCTCTAAATAATACATAGTAGTTCCAATTACTATGCATTCAAACATACGAGGAACTTAAATTGGCAAATTTATACACTAAAGTCATAACTGTATTTTTAAATTAATTTATGCAGTAAAGCCATAATTTGAAGAGGACTTTCTCACCTGAGGCTTGTTTGTGGAAAAGTAGGAGTCTGGCCCTGAATTATGAAATCGATCAAAGACTGCTCTTGCTCCATTTGTATCCACACTGATTTTGCTTTTCTCTGCATTATTAACCTTTAAGTATAAGGGTAAAAATTATACTATATGATAACGGACAATAATGACATGACAAAACACAGGTTTTACATGCAGTCAATGAGGTCTTGTGGGGATTTTCTTTTGCCGGATGATACGACATATCTGGCTTCACCTTTACAGTTAAACATGAGTCGATATCACTGCCCTTTACTCTCTTTATTATGCTAATTAATATTTTAATTAGGTATGTGTACACCTGGTAATCTGTATTAGGTCGGTACCTGAGTTAACATAACAAGCAGACAGAAAAAGTGAACTAGCCATAAGTTTTTCCTCAGAATTAGCTCTTACCTCCATTGACAATGAACTTTGCTGGCAGAGGGCCTCTCTCTATAAATTATTTGTGATACAAATTATAAATATATATTGTTCACGATTGTTCTAATTAATCAGCTGATTTACTGTGAAAATAAATTAAAGACGACCAATGTCTTTCACTTAAATTAATCGGATAAGCTCGCGACCTCGACCGTGTCTCTTCACCAATGCACCCGCCGCGAAGCCAAGAGTTTGCGGTCTCCAGCCGACAACTGTTCCTCATGTTTCTATTGGCTAAACCGCCTTCAATTAGCCAATCAGAATCCATCAAATGGTCGCGAGCGGAGATGCGGTCAGGCTTAGTAACGGAAAAATACAGAAAGAACATTTCCAGAAAATAATTAAATGACATGTATGTTAGCCCTTTAACTGAATCAATCAATTAATTAATTAATTTCCCAATAATTAATCATTTATCTCTTGCTCTGCTTCTGTTTTAATACTATAAATAAATGCTGCATGCATTCGTTTATATATTCTTATCCTTAATATATCACTGTTATTACTATTATCAGTATTAATAACCTACTTGATTTTAAACTCATTTTTAAAATGTGATTTATTTAAATTTAAAAAACGCAAAAGAAAATTAAGAAATAAAACGTAGGGTGAATGTTACTAACAACACATAGCCACAAGATGTCACCACTATCCATCTCATAGATAGATAGATAGATAGATAGATAGATGGATGCTATTTTATAAGATGTGTTTTGTTTTGTTTTGTTTTTCAGAAAAGAGAATTTCCAAATTCACGTTCTCTCATTCTTCGATACCATAACTTCTTACCCGAATAAAACTTTTTTAAAAATGCTCTAGGTTTTCAGATGACTAATGGCAGATATGAGCGATTCAATTGGTCTGAAGACCTTGTGATGGGGGTTTAGAGTAGAAATCTGTTTCAAGACCCCCGAATTCCCTCCTTCTCCTCATACACCCTTCAGAGTCAGCAACAGGCAGCCCAGGGGGAACTTGAAACAGTCTAGATACTATATGTCTGACGGACAAAGGGGGAAAAGTCATGCAGTCGCTCCTGCGCGCAACAGATATTCCCTACAAAGTATGCTGTTTATACTAGCTCGCGAGTTCATCGAGACTCTTTGTTTTCGATTAGCAGACGATATGTCGCCCAAAGCGTAGTTTGTGGAGTCACGTTTTATTCAGTGAAAGTTAGGCGGAACTTTCCGGGACAATGCAGGCGGGTGGAAGTTTGTGTCTGTTTTTGGCACTGGTGTTGCCGTGCTGTTTCGTGGCGTCTGGACAATATCACGGAGACAGTGGGATAGCCGTTCCCGACCACGGCTTCTGTCAGCCCATAACCATCCCCCTATGCACGGACATCGCTTATAATCAAACCATTATGCCAAATCTGGTCGGACACTACAACCAAGAGGATGCGGGGCTGGAGGTCCATCAGTTTTACCCGCTGGTCAAGGTACAGTGCTCTCCTGAACTCAAATTCTTCCTGTGCTCCATGTATGCGCCAGTGTGCACGGTTTTGGAGAAAGCCATCCCGCCGTGCCGCTCCATTTGCGAGAGGGCAAAGCACGGCTGCGAGGCCCTTATGAACAAGTTTGGTTTTCAGTGGCCAGAGCGGCTGAGATGCGAACATTTCCCCGTGCTGGGAGACGGACACATCTGTGTGGGTCAGAACGACTCCACGGCTACTGTGTCGCCCGTCCACATGCCCGTTCCAGGAACGCCTGGCATTCAGCTGTACTCCTCGTTGGACAAACCGTTCCGCTGCCCGTCAGTGCTAAAGGTGCCTTCTTACCTCAGTTATAAGTTCTTGGGCGAGCTGGATTGTGGTGCTCCATGTGAGTCCTCCAGAACACAACGGGTTTATATGTTCTTCACAGACCAGGAGATTGAATTTGCCCGGATTTGGATCCTCATCTGGTCCTCCCTCTGCTGTGCATCTACCTTATTCACCGTAACCACGTATTTAGTGGACATGCAACGTTTTAAGTACCCAGAACGTCCTATTATTTTCTTGTCTGGCTGTTATACCATGGTTTCCATTGCGTATATAGCTGGTTATTTTCTTGGGAACAAAGTTGTGTGCAACGAGAGCTTTTTTCTCGATAGCTATAAAACTATCGTTCAAGGTACGAAGAAAGAAGGGTGTACAATTCTGTTCATGATGCTGTATTTCTTCAGTATGGCGTCTTCGATTTGGTGGGTCATCCTGTCTCTCACTTGGTTCCTGGCGGCTGGTATGAAATGGGGCCATGAGGCTATTGAAGCCAATTCACAGTACTTTCACCTGGCCGCCTGGGCCGTTCCGGCTGTAAAGACTATTAGCATCCTGGCCATGGGACAAATCGATGGAGACGTGCTAAGTGGCGTCTGTTTTGTGGGCCTGAACAATCTGGATCCCTTGAGGGGCTTCGTGTTGGCCCCTCTCTTCATCTACCTCTTCATCGGCACCTCATTCCTGCTGGCCGGCTTCGTGTCCCTGTTTCGCATCCGCACCATCATGAAGCACGACGGCACCAAAACCGAGAAACTGGAGCGCTTGATGGTCCGCATAGGTGTCTTTTCGGTTCTTTACACTGTCCCGGCCACCATCGTCATCGCTTGCTTTTTTTACGAGCAGGCCTTCAGGCAACACTGGGAGAAGAGCTGGATCAGTACGAACTGTAAGAGCCTGGCCATCCCGTGCCCCATGCAACCCGCTCCTCACATGACCCCCGACTTCACCGTCTTCATGATCAAGTACCTCATGACTCTCATTGTAGGGATCACTTCGGGATTCTGGATCTGGTCGGGGAAGACGCTGCACTCTTGGAAGAAGTTCTACACGCGTTTGACCAGTGGCGGACAAGGGGAGACCACCGTTTGAAACTGGAGATCGTGGTCCACATTTTCATGCAATAATGATTTTAGAAATACAAAAACATAATAAAGTGCCTTCGATCGTCAGTATTTTGAAAGCAGTTACACTTTTACACTGTCAGACTTTCAGAGACTTTCAAGTGGAAAGAGAAATGGGACGTAAACCACTTGAATGCCTCAAAACAAACATGGCCAATTTGATACCAAGTGCAGAAATGTTTTCCTCCCCCATTCTGTTGCCCCCCTGTTTTTCTCATAAGCTGCTGGCCATAAAAACTCAACTTGGAAAATGAGATACCAGCTGGGAATTCAACGACAGAGCAAGCAA